AGGGACAATGCTTTTCCTTAATGAAATAGACACAATGAGTATAGATTGGTCTTCCTTGCATCCAGTGCTTTTTCCAAAGTCTGTGGACTTACTGAATGCCTTATGCACTACCATGGTATTTGTTTTATACAGTATTACTCTGGTTAAAGAACCCGTCTGCAACAAATAAAACGTGGCAGTGGGACTGTGCTCCTGGAATTCACTGGTTTAACCATGTTCCTATTATCCTGAAGTAGCCGGCTGGGTAGAGTGGTGGGATAATGTTTTGAAAACTCAGCCACAGTTCTAGCTAAAGAGCAACACCTTGAGGGGTGAGGCAATGCCCCCCACCGCCGCCCTTATGGTATGTGCTTTAAATCAGTTTCCAATATATGGTACTGTTTCTCCCATAGCCACAATTCATGAGTCCAGGAATGAAGGCAAGGAAGTATCATGTTAGTGGCTTCTCTCACTATTACCCCTACTGATCCACTAGCAAAATTCTTTGTTTTCTGTCCTTGTGACTTGAAGTTCTGGTGGTCTAAAAGACTAGATCCAAAGAGAGGAACCACCCAAGGGAGAGAATATTCCACTTGTAGACAAGAGCTTGAGCCCACACCTGTGGAGTTCCAGCCTGCTCGTGATCCGCCCTGCTTGGTTGCACGGAAAACAGGTCTTCGCTGTAGACTTTGGGCCTCCTTAGCCAGCCCCTGCCATTGCATAAGCCAATTCCTTGTGAGAGATCTAAATCTAGACCTATCTCTATGATCCTGTTCCTCTAAAACAACTTATAGTACCAAATTCTGAATCAGAGTTTGACCAGAGAAGTGGAACCAATAGGCCATAGATGTATATACTAATGGCCTTATTACAAGGAGCTGGCTTGCACAGTTGTAGGGGCTGGCCAAGCAATCAGGAGAGGCAGGCAGGATGGCATGATCCAAGGGAAAGGAGAGCAATTGTAGGCCCAGTGCCTATTTGCAGAGCAGATCAAGGAAGAGTTAAGCCTTTTTCTAAAGGCCTTCCGACTGATGAAGTGAGTTCCACCTAGGATAATCACCCATTTGATTAAAGATAATTTATTAAGGACTTCAACCATGTGTACAAAATACAGCAGCATGTAAATTAGTGTTTGAATAACCGAAGGAAGACGTGTGAATACAGCAAAGTGGCTCCGGCTCCCCTTCATCCTTTAACCCTGGGCAGGGAGTATCTCCTATGCGCCATCCAGTTGGCCTCACGGAGAAGTGTGAGGGGGATCGTTCAGCCCAGCCAAGTGGACACATTCAAAAGCCATGACTGGGAGTCACAGTTCTCATTTTTAATGAGAAAGCTTGCAAAGCATTGCTAGAGGAAAGGACTTTTTCTATGATAAAGTGAGATTATGTCAGTTTAGATGGAACTTCAGTGAAGATTTTGGTATAGATTTGGATACTGATCTTTAACATGACCACATTCTGCAGACCAAAACCCGTATCAAATACCAAATACCCTCCACACATCCCAAACACTGCTCCCAGGCCTGCCATCGTGTGCAGAATACTTTTCTTCCTGCTTCATTCATTCACTCAGTAAGTGTTTATTGAGCATCTACCATGTGCCAGGAGCTCTGGTAGGTACTCTGGGTAACGAGGAGGACATACAACAAGATAGACATGCTTTTTTTTTTTTTTTAATGGAGTCTTTTTTTAAAGATTTTTATTCACTTATTTGACAGAGAAAGATCACAAGAAGACAGAGCAGCAGACACAGAGCAGGGGAAGCAGGCTCCTTGCTGAGCAGAGAGCCCAATGCAGGGCTCGATCCCAGGACCCTGAGATCATGACCTGAGCTGAAGGCAGAGGCTTTAACCCACTGAGCCACCAGGCGCTCCGATACACATGCTTTTTGCCCTTTGTGATGGGTCCTGGGGACAATAATGTACAATAATAGCAGCTACAACTGCATTCCCTCGGGTTCCTCACCCCCCCGCAAATGTTCTGCATCTCCTCACTGCCCTCTGTTTACCTTCCTCCCTTTCTCAGGAGTACCTCCTTGCTTCTTTTCAGGTTAACCCATCATCAGTGAGCTTGACCTCATCCCCTCCTTCTGACTAATCAGTTAAAAAGTAAATTATTTCGGGACGCCTGGGTGGCTCAGTTGGTTAAGCAGCTGCCTTCGGCTCAGGTCATGATCCCAGCGTCTTGGAATCGAGTCCCACATCGGGCTCCTTGCTCATCAGGGAGCCTGCTTCTCCCTCTGCCTCTGCCTGCCATTCTGTCTGCCTGTGCTTGCTCTCTCCCTCTCTCTCTGACAAATAATTAAATAAAATCTTTAAAAAAAAAAAGTAAATTATTTCAACCATTCGTTCATTCATTCAGTGTTGAGGTTCTGTTATGCCCCAGATACTTTGCTTAGTGCCAGATACTTAAAGCTAAATAAGACAGAAATTGTTATAACCTAGTAAGGAAGCTGGACCAAGAAAGCCATCAAAACAAAAAACGGTAACAGAAGAACGTAAAGCAAGAAATGAAAAAAACCACTACACATTAATAATAGGAAAGAGAGAATAGCTACAGTAGGTGACTCAGAGCAGTCAGAGAAGGACTCTCTGAAGGGAGAGTTCCCGTGAGAGACACAGGCTAAGAAGGGAGCAGCCATGGGAAGAGCAGATGGATCGAGTGTACGAGGCGCCATGGCAAATTAGAGCTTGACCTTTTGGTGGAACTGAGGGAAGACCATGGGCCAGGAGGGTGTGACAAAGGAGCGCGCGAAACCATGAAGGCAGTTGAGGGCATCTTTTAAGAAGGCGGGAGAAGGCAGGTGGTGCCGAACACCCAGGCAGCCACTCCAGCCTGTGGTCCTGGCTCTGCACCCATGCTCTGTGCAACCCCGGACACCGTCCTAATTATGTACCTCCCCACTGGGGTTTCTCCAGCTAACCGCAAAGACTCCGTGTGGCTTACATCAAACAAGGCACGTACAGTATAGAGGATGGTTTGGCATCTGCAAACAAAGAAAATGGCAGCTACTCTGTGTAATTAGTATTCACCAGCCTCCCCCACCCCAGCAGAGCTGGGGTTGCCTCCCGTGTGCTTCCACTGAGGCTCTTTATTAAAGCGTGTTGTAAGTGTCTATGTACACACCTGGCTTCCTTTCTAGAACATCGGACCTTGTCAGAAGAAAAGTCATGTAGAAAATAGGATGGAGGGCGCTTGGGTGGCTCAGTGGGTTAAAGCCGCTGCCTTTGGCTCAGGTCATGATCTCAGGGTCCGGGGATCGAGCCCCAGATTGGGCTCTCTGCTCAGCAGGGAGCCTGCTTCCCCCTCTCTCTGCCTGCCTCTCTGCCTGCTTGTGATTGCTCTCTCTGTCTCTCTCTCTCTCTCTGTTAAATAAATAAATAAAATATTTTTAAAAAAAGAAAATAGGATGGAAGTGTATTATGAACTGTAAACTACTGTTCGGTTGGGAGTTACGTTAAAGAGGCTTGGAATCTATCTGGGGGAGCTGACACATGAAAGGAACGGAGGGCATGAGGTAAAGACGAGCCCGCAGGTATGAATGAAGCTCTGTGAGAGCCCATATGCTGCCCGGGCTACTGGGAAGGTTCTTCAAGGAAGTAGAATTTTTATTGGGATCTGAGTTCAAGAACAGTAGGAATAAAGATGAGAGAAACTAATGTGAGAGGCATTCCTCAGGTAGGACCAAGAGGGGCACCTGGGTGGCTCAGTTGGTTAAGCATCTGCCTTTGGCTTGGGTCATGGTCCCGGAGGCCAGGAAGGAGCCCCAGGCCAGGATCCCTACTCCGCAGGGAGTCTGCTTCTCCCTCTCCCTCTGCCATTCCCCCTGCTCTTTCTCTGTCTCTTAAGTAAAAAAAAAAAATCTTTAGAAACAATGTCATCAGAGACAGGGGCTGCTGTTGGGGAGGCCAAGACATCACTTGCCAGAACCCCTGGGATTAGGCTTCCCAAAAGCCTGATGGAGAGAGGATGCTGAGGGACAAGGTGCAGAGGCAGAGCAGTGGACAGGACACAGGTGACTGGGCAATGAAGAGAAGGGGACACATAGAGGTCTGGGAATAGCAACAAAACACCTGGAGAGGCCTCAGCACGGTAAGAGTAAGAGGCAAAGAGAGGTGAGAGAGGTCTTGTCCTCCATGCTGTGGGTATCAAAGGAACGAGCCCATGCAAACCCCCTCCCACCCCCCAGATTAGAGACCCTGTTATTTGTCAGCCGGTCAGGAGACAGAAACTGAGCAGTGATATGAAGAAGGAGGGTTTAACATAAAGAATTATTATATAGTTGCAGAAGATTGGCTATTAAGGGATAAAAAATAAAGGATGAATTCAGGACAGACCCTCCTCACAAGGCTGACTTTAAGGTCTTGTTAGAAAGTGTGTGGCCTTGGTACTTTGCTTGGCAGCAAAAGTTTGCTGGGTGCCACAAGTCAAAGTTGATGAACAAGAAAGTCTCTAGATGAGGTGACAACAAAACTTGCCAGATGTTGATGATGTCACTGTGCCACCATTTCCTGGCATGTTTTGTTCCTGGGACCTTTTGTGTGAAATAAGGTGGAGAAAAACTGCTCTGGACATGTTTCTTAGAAGGCAGGGACAGAAACTGGTTTTCACTGGATTTGAAGGCCCAGCTAAGAACCAACAGAGGATCAAAGTGACAGTGGCCAGATCAGGATGCCACCATCCCGTCCTCCCAAGGCTGAGTCCCCTGACCCCAGGGACAGAGAACACTAAGGCACAAGACAAAAGGAACTAAACACTGAGGACAGAGAAAGTGACAGGACACCACGGACAGCAGTGAGGGGTCTGGACGTGGAAGGACCTGGAAATAGCACAAGTGCAACTAGAGGGGCCTGGACAGGGGAGCAGGTCTGATCCAGGAGGAAGGGTGTGGGGTGTCTGTCCTGTGTCATGCTCAGGTGTCCCCACTACACCAAACCCAGGCTCTGCCTGCTCGGGGTGGGGGTGTCCATCCTTCACTCCTGGGGAGCAAACAAGCAGTCCTTATACCCAAGAGTAACACACACTTTTCAAGTCAGTCTCATTAAGCATTTATTAGACACATATTAAGTGCCCTCCCCCAGCCTCTGGGGACAGAGAACTCAATGACTGGGTGTTCCTGCCCTCAGGGTCCTCACAGCCCATCTCCCCAGGGCAGAGCCAAGGGAAAGCTCAGTACTTGTCAGGCAGGCCAGGGGGTCGGAAGTGGTTGGGGTCTTTGCCACTCCGGCCCCATTCGTTGGCAGCCTGGTCAGCCTTTGAGTCCTCCACTCCGTGGCCGCTGTCTCCATACTTGAAAAGGTCTGTGACTCTCTGAGAATGCTCTCTGGCGTCACTGGAATGGAGGAAGGCAGGTAGAGATTCATTAGGGGCTGCTGAGCAACAGGCCCCCACTCCCACCAATCCCTTCTCTTTCTGAGGGATGGCTGAGAGGAGCCCAGGCCAGAGGGGCTGAAACACCGACCCTGCTCCACGCACACCCCAGGTCAGCCCAGGCTGGTCCCCTTGCCCACAGCAGGAGGGTGGGAGTCCCCCATTCCCACTGGTCTTGCTCTGGCTCTGCCAGCCACTCAGACCCCACACTGGGCACAGAGGGGACGGTGGCAAGAGGACCAGGAGCCCCTGTCTCTACAGGAAGCTTCTCTAGGATTGGCCCCTCCTGGCTCTCTAAGGCCACCATGCTCAGCCAGGCCATCCCTGCATCCCCGGGGCCCTTGTTACCTGATGACTCTAGCGGCCCAGGTGCCCCCAGGACCCCTTTGTGCAGCATCATAGTTCCCGCGGGCATGGAAGTATTTGTCCGAATTTTTGTAATTGGCTTCTCTCATGTCACAGTAGGCTCTGTACATGTCCCAAGCCCCTGCAAGAGAAGGACAAGTCAACAGGGATATCAGGTGGACAGAGAGCCAGTGGCAAACCACAGGGAAGAATCAAGGAACGGCCAATCTCCCACCGACTCGAGATTTCTGCTCCAAGTCTCCCCTCCTTCCCCTTCATGTGGGAAAGATGCCTGCCTCACCAAGATGTCCTGAAGTCAGAGTCGGAGAGCACCTGTCCCAGCTTGAGCAGAAGTGTCCCCGTTGGCCCAGAAGCCTCCCAGTTCGCACTGACGGGGTCATGGAAAACCCTCAGCCCCGGGCTGACCAGCATAGCTGGTCACTGCCCATTGCGTGAAGGTGCTGAGTTCCTAGTGCAGGCTTGATAGATGGTTGTTAGTCTCCCCTCCCCTTTCTTTTTTTGCTCCCGTTAAGGGCCAGGAAAGGGGAGGAAACAGATCTCCCAGGGACAGCATCACTGACAAGAGGAAGCATCAGGGAGAGCCACGCTGGAGGTGTCTGTAAATTAGTCAATCAGGAAATGGCAGGAAGGGTGGAAGGGAGGGAGGGAGGAAGAATGGGAGGAAGGGCTGGCTGAAGGGAGGGAGGGAAAGGAGAAGAAGGAGGGACAGCTTTAATCAGACACTGTGCCTTTTGTCTGCAGGAAATTCTGTGCCATTTCAAGACTCATTTTGTGTCTTCTAGTCGAACTGACACTTCAGCTGGGAATGATGATGGCTCCTTCTCTAGTAGGAGTGGACACAAACCCTGTGCCTTTCGATCTGTTTCATGAAGAGCTCCCCCAAAACCGGGCACATTCTACCACAGAGGGCAACACACCTAACGCAGTAGCTGAACCCTTGCAAGTGCTCAGGGCAAATCCAAGTGGCCCGTGGATGCCACCCCCGTCCTGTGACCTTACCTTGAGCAGCCTCACTGATGAATGAATACCATTGGCTGCTGACCCCCAGGACCAAGGAGCAGAAGATGAGGCCCGTAAAAAGCTTCATGGTGCTGAAATGAAGGAAGGAGAGGGTCAGGGGGCAAGGACAGGACCCGCACCCCCTCGGGGATTTGCAGGTCACATGAAGCCTGGTGCCCGTTCCATTTGTTCTCAGTAGACTCTCCGGGTCCACGCAGGAAACACTGCAGTAGGTTCTCACTCAGAACCACAGTCCCCAGGGCTGAACCCTTCAGCCTGACCCTAGGCTGGCTAAGAGGTCCCCAGGGTGGCACTGATGGGGCAACAGGGCAGCTGGGACCAACTTGTCCCAGCCTAGAGCAGCCTGTCATCAACCAAAAAACCTTATCATCCACAGGGTCTACTGGGTGCCACTCTGCGAGCACAGACCTCATACGGGACAAATACAAAGCAGAATTATTATTTTTCAAGGGATCTACATCCTGATGGGAAAGAGAAAAGAGACTCTGTTCTACATCCAGTCCCTCTTTGGAGTAGCCCCTCACCTGAGTTCTGGTGGAGCAGAGCTGCTGGTCCCTGCCTGCTGGGGAGAGGTGGCTGGTATTTATACTGAGCCCTCCCTGCTGGGCACACGGGAAGAGAAGAAAAACCAGACTTGGTGCCCGGAAAAGTCTCCCCAGGTCATGGCCCCTAGAGACCTGCAAAGGAGAACTTACGGGACACCGGTGGTTTTCTTCATCCACAGGTCAATTCCCGGTTGTGCAATCCTGAGGACACAGGTTGGCTGGTTGTGCTGGCGGCCGGGGCTCCGGAGGAGGGTCCCGCTGTCAGAGCTGGAGGGGCTGTGGAGAGGAGTGGTGTGGAGCCTGAGGGGGTGGCCCACTGACCCCTGGAAGGTGTGTGGTTAGGTAGAGGAGAGCTCCTCTAGCCAGGACCTTGCTTCCCTGCTCACTTCCTCAGGCTGGTCCCTGCCGGGCCAGATGGCAGATGTGCTAGAAATGAGAAATGACACGCTTTGTGTTCCTGCCTAAAGCTCTTGGACTGGTGAGCCCCACCAAGTCCCTCGGGTGCCCTGGGAGGTCCTTGCCCCAGTCTATGTGCACCTGCTAAGCTTTCAGCTCTGAGGCCCAGGGAAGCCCTGCTCAGCCGGCTCAGCCCATGAGCACATGCATTATGGAAGCCGGTTCCTGGGTCGGGAGTATCTAGTCGGAGGGATTCTGTCTCACTTCACCCAAACTTCGAGTTACCTCATCCTGGAGTGAGAGTATTGTTCAATGAATTTGCAGCTCAGCTGGGGTTCCAGATGGGGAAATGAAGGCGGTGGGAAGATCCCTTTGTATTTTCCTACCGTGAGGGGTCACTGTCTTCTCCCTGTCATTATGAGACCGAAGTACTACCAGCAGCGTCAGCCCAGCTCTGCAGGGGCTGGTGAGGGGTGACGGGGGAGAGCGGAGTCAGTGCCCAGCCCTGGTGAGGCCAGGTTAGAAACAAAGGCTGTAGGACATGTCAGCTCCTGCTGATTTCTTCCTCTCTTCGCTGTCTTCCCACCCTCAGGGCTTGGCATTTATAGCCACCAGAGAAAGCTTAGGAAGGGCAGGGCCAGGAAGGAGGAGGTAAAGGAGGGTAATGATCTGCAGGCAGCAAAGAGTAGCTTCATCCTGCACAGCTGTGTTCCACCTGCTGCCCTCGGGCCACTCACACCCTCCCCTCTCCCCAGATACCACTCCCCACCATGTTAAATCCACTGGGTGTCATACATGTTAGAATTTACGCTACACACACACTCACACACATTCTAGGCTGACTTGCCCCAGGGAGAACGGCATCACAGGAAAAAGTTACCAGATAGTCAAGCAGCACAGTTGCTTTTATCAAAGAAAAACAACCAACTAAAAATATACTACTAGGTGTCCCAGAAGTAATGGGTTGGAGAAATACAAAGAAACTCATAAAACACTTAATAAATATCATTGAAAGGGGTAAAAGATAATATGAAGAAGGAACCATCAATTTTGAAGAAGAATCAAATGGAAAGACTATAAATATAATATTGAATAAAAACACCTTAATAAAGGGATAAATAATGGATAAATGCAACCCAATGGTAAAGTAGTTGGCTACTTTACTTCAAAGTAGTTGGCTCTAGGATCTTTCCCAAGGAGCAACAGAAAAAGAGATGGAGTTTATTGGGAATTTTCAAAAGACATAGAATAGCAACAGAATTATCATTATAAATCACCAAGAACAGAAAAATGAACCACAGAAAGGTAAAAGTAGTAGAAAATTCCCAGACTCAGAAAGAAAAGAATATGTGGTAATATGTTTGGTAAGCTGGATAAAGTAAACATATTTCTGGGAAAATATAAATTCCAATGTGGGTACAGGAAGAAATAGAGAAATTACACAGAACAATATACAGAAGTAAACGAACATGATGAAGAAGGTCCCCACTCATTCCCAAAATGGAGTTCAGTTTCACAGATGCGTTTTACCAAATGTATACATGTCATTTGACAAAATAGAAAAATAAGGAAACTTGTCAACCCTGCTCACCCTCCCTCACATTCCTTCCCTCAGAAACCACAAAAAAGGCTCTCATCCACATTTTAGCACCTCACTCCCTCTGCCTTCTGACCTTCCCTGGGAGCATCCCTGGGTGCTGCCATCCCCTCCCCGTGACATAGGGTCCCACCTTCAGTTGGGATCTGGGAGTAAAATACTACCTTGTTAATGATAGTCACCTCCTGATCTATTTCTTGCCATATCTGAATAATAATATAACCTATATTTTTATTTTTTTAAAAGATTTTACTTATTTATTTGAGAGACAGAGATCACAAGTAGACAGAGAGAGGAGGAAGCAGGCTCCCCGCTGAGCAGAAAGCCCGATGCGGGGCTCGATCCCAGGAGCCTGGGATCATGACCTGAGCCGAAGCAGAGGCTTTAACCTACTGAGCCACCCAGGCGCCCCACAACCGATATTTTTAATACAGAAATCTTATTGTTACAAGTATTGCACGCAGAAAAGAGATCTCAAATTGTTGAAAATGGAAACAAAACAACAAAAGCAAGGACCCCGCACCCGTCGTCCCTGCGAAGGGAAGCCTCTTGAGGGAGACAGGCGGGAATACTAGCTGAGAGGCGGAGCAAGGTGTTGACCCTGATGCATTAAAGAAAGCCAGGATTTGGGACGGAGTCGGGGTGAAGGTCTGAGGAAACACAGAGGTATTTCCTGGCCTAATGACTCCCCAGCTGTTGAGGGATCCCAGGGGATTGGAAACATTTTCCCACAGAGCTGGCATAATAGGCTGGTCTGGTGGAGGTTGGAGAAGAGATTTGGGTCATGCTAGAGCCAGCGGGGCCATAGGAAGCCATAGGCTCACTTCTTCACGGGCCCTGAAACCTTTCTCACGATCCAAATGCCAGTGGTTCCAGGCCTTTCTCAAGTGTGCCAGGTGCAGAGGTGGACACATTTGTATACCACGATAGGCAGGGATCCAAGCAGGGGCTCAAGTCAACATTGTGCCCAGGGTTTTTGAGTGGCACTTGCCAGCTTCGCTTTGAAGATCCAGTGGGGCTGGATCTCCTTGCTGTGAGTTCCCCAACCCTGGATGTAAATGTAGTGAGCCTGGAGCTTCCTGAATCAGAAAAGTGGGGGGTCCTACTCTGGACAGTATGCTCATCCAGAAGGTCCACTACTGGGATTGTAGAAAGAGATAATTTGTCAAGAAAAATGTGTGTCTCTGTTTAGGCAGAGAATGAGCTTTAATTAAAGGAAAAATGGAAGGTAAATCTCTTGGGGCTGAGAGTTCTTTCTGTTTACAGAACCGCTATGGTGTCGGTCATGTCTCTCTGAAGGTAAGAGAAGCCAGGGAGTTCCGGGATGTTTAGGACCCAGAGAACTAAACAAGCATTCCTTATTTTGCTAACTAAGCAGATTGAGACAGACTCTCTGGTAAATCTGAAAATTTGACTTTGCTCAATTGTAAGCGGTAAATTTTCCAAGTTAGATGTTCCTGCCAATGAATGTGACAGAAAAAGGAGCCTCTTTTTCACATAACATTTTATTGTCTCTCTAGAATGAAAACTTCTTCTCTAAAATTGAGAAACATACTTAATGACCTAGGTATTGGAATAGCCTAACTAGTACAAAAAGGTTTAATGACGATTCATAAGGTGGGCTCTTTGGTAACACTTGAAATTTACTTATTTACTTACTTTCCTTTTAAGTTTTCACTCTTTAGTCTCCATCAGTCAGAGAAACACAAATGCTATATGACTTCACTCATGTGGAATTTAAGAGAGGAAACAAAGAAAAAAGGTGATCGCTTGAAATTTAAACAAAACTTATGAGCAATTACTAAAAACTTCCCCTCCCCAAATGAGTTTTTAATTTCACCAACACTGCACAATTCCATAAGAGATTTTGGGTTTTGAGTGGTTTCTAATTCACTACCCCCCATTGCAAATGTTTAAAATGAAAAGAAAGAAAATATTTTAAGGGGCGCCTGGGTGGCTCAGTGGATTAATCTCTGCCTTCAGCCCAGGTCATGATCTCAGGGTCCTGGGATCAAGCCCCGCATTGGGCTCTCTGCTCAGAGGGGAGCCTACTTCCCCCTCACTCTCTGCCTGTCTCTCTGCTTACTTGTGCTCTCTCTCTCTCTCTCTCTGTCAAATAAATAAATAAAATCTTTTAAAAAAGAAAAGAAAAGAAACTATTTTAAAACACAACGCGGTGTATTTCTGTATGTTGGCAACACCAGTTCCGGACTCTGACTCGCTGTTGCTCATGGTCGGCTGGTGACTGAATCCCACCAGGTCCTACTGTGTGCCTTTAGCCATCCCACCAGGCAGAGGCCAGGAGGCTTCAGAAGATCAATAAGCCCTGGCTGACAGCCTTTGGGGGAAGAGACCCGGACCTAAGTACAGACAGGTTCGAATCAGGGTTTCCTGGTGCCTAAGAATGCTGACTGACAGCTCCAAGCTGTGAGGGAAGTGTTCTCTATTCAGGAGGAGACGTGGGCTTCGTAAGAAGGGATGCACACCCAACAGAATTAGGAGTCCGCATCCTCAATTCAATGATTAGTCCCTTTACACTCCTGATGATCAGCTTGTTAAGTAGAAGCAACAGAAGAGAAGTCATTTCTCTTGTCTTCCCAATTGCAGTAATCGGTAGCCTGGTGAAGAACTAGTAAAGGGTCAGGAGATCTTTTGACAGCTGAGCCACTTATGATTTTTTTTTTTTTAGATTTTATTTATTTATTTGACAGACAGAGATCACAAGTAGGCAGAAAGGCAGGCAGAGAGAGGGGGGAAGCAGGCTCCTTGCTGAGCAGAGAGCCCGATGTGGGGCTTGATCCCAGGACCCTGAGATCATGAACTAAGCTGAAGGCAGAGGCTTAACCCCCTGAGCCAGCTAGGCTCCCCGAGCCACTTATGATTCTATTAATGTTAAGGAGAACATGATGGGAATGAGTAATGATGTTAGTACTTAGGGACTATGGTTCTTCAGGAGAGATAAAAATCTTAGGAGGATTGGTGACACCTTGTCTTCTCTTTTCTCTCATTATACTTTCTGT